AATTTTGAGAATTTCCTTTAATCATGGGATTTAGTTTACGTGTTGCATAGATTAAACTATGATCACTTATACCGAAGAAAAAAGGGTTGGGTAAACTAAATTTTGAGTAAGTAAAAGGTTGGGTAAATGAAAAACAAAACAACTCAAGGGTTGGGTAATAAAAAAAATTGTCATTTCCAAAGCATGACTCACTGAAGTATTGGGGACTAAAAAGCAATGGCAACAGTAGGCCCTACTCTGGGGCGATAACAAGATAATGCGAGTTTAAGCAATTTTAGGTGATTTAAGCAAAATCTGCAATTTAAGCAATGCGAGTTTGAGCGATATAGGGCAATGTAAGAAAACAATTAAAATTTTAGGGAATGCTGTTTTAGGTGTTTAGAGGTAATTTCAGGAATATACAACTATATCCCTGATGACTCCAATGAAATTACCATTAACCTACGCCAAGCATCCAAACATGAGTGTTCCCACAAACACACACACATGCAGTGTATGAAGCAAAATATACAATTTAACAAAAAAAGTTGAAGTCTGCTTGAGGGGGTTCTGGAAACAAACAATACACTGTATGCGCATGACGATCAAGTGTTTAAAGGGTAAATAAGCTCAATATTCATGACTTTTCATCCATTGTCTATTTCGAAGCCATTGGGGTAGTATTAAATTCATGACACAACTATAATACATGACCACATGTTCACATCATATGCAAACAATTTTCAAAGGAGTAGGGTACAGAATTGCAATATAACAACATATAAGTAAATTATACATGTCATGAACTTACCAGTTTGTGTTGAGTTAAATTTAAAAATTTTTATGACATCATATATTATTTATTTATTTGCAAATCAAAACATTTTAAAATTCTCGTGTTTTGTTTTGCATTGCGCCCGCGATATATTAATGGTATTAACCGCTGTGAATATGATATACATTTAAATACATTACATTTGCGCTCAAAAGTTCAGGAAGTGAGTTTCTAGAAAGGATGAAAACTCCGTTTTATATATGGTATGTAAAAGGTAATCGTTGTTTACTGTTTATTTTGTTTATTTATTTATTTATTTATTTATTATTGTCTTTATTAGGGTCCACTACAGTATATGTACAAAGTCTAATTATAAAGTCAATTATTCGGAGGCCCTAAATGGGCGAGGTGCAAACGGGACTCGAAGAACCATGCAAGGCACCTGCCCAAACTTAGTAAAAATTTACTGTTCTAATTGAAAATCTATACTGTTCTAGTAAACCTCGGAGGTGCATAAGCCTTATAAAAATCGAGGGTTAGTAAAACCCCCAGTTGCTTCCCACAATGCATTGTATTCCTATTTAATGAACGAACTGCGGGAAACAACTGGTACAAATATTTGTATTCAGGTATGGGGAATTTGAGCGATGAGAGTTGCAAAACTTGCAAATGTAGTTTGACTAGTTTCTTTGACGTCATCATGCAACTATTTAATATTGTGCTACATTCATTATTCAATTTATTCGCAGCAATTAGCCTTCTATAAGCCATACAAATGATTATAGCTTATAGCCCTCCTTGCCTTTAACATTGATCCTATATATAATGAATTAACATAACTAACTTGATTATGTTGCTATTCGAGTATGGGACCTATGGGTCTTCTAGATCCTAGAGTAGGCAGTATGGAATGTAAGTGTTGTGCACCGGACATGTCCGGTGCACAGCACCCTTTATTGGTGCACAATCTAGTGCACAAAATTTTACAATAGTAATCTGTGGTGCACATCTGGTGCACACATAACAAGTTAAATAAGGGTGGTGCACTGGTGCATAATTCAGGATTTCTCAATTAATTTCCTTCAATAGAATTAACAGCAAAACTTAGTAAAACCTATTTCTGGAAAGTACCTGGAATGCATAGACCTGAGTGGGGTAGACTTTGCTGCTTTGGCCAATATATTAAAGATCCCAGAAAAATGTAAATTTCGATTTTATAATGTTGTTTTCTCACTTTTCTTACCACCAGAATTGTGTAAAATCTTCTGCCAAAGTCCAGGAAATGGCATTTCAGAGACTTTAAGTTTAAAAATTTCCCGGGAGTACATGAACCAACCCCCAACCCCCAGTATTTTGCGCCTTCGGAGCTCGTCTCATGCCTTCGGCAATCGGCACAAGATTTCAGGGAAGTGAAAAATACATTGGTCCACAAATCTTTGGCCGGTTAGACGAACCAATGGTGCACACGAAAAATGATCAACTTCCTTGTCCGGTGCACAAAAAAGTTACATTCCATACTGGAGAGTAGCACAATTAATATAAAGTCTCCGTAAGGCGGTAATATTAAAGACTGTTCTTATTTATGCATGACCTTTGACTATTAAGTGGCCAAAAACTGTGCCTACAGTAGTCAACTTATTCCACTATCCAGGTTGCATCACTTTTGATTCAAAACACCCGGGTTTATTATACATGGATTTGCTAGCAAAATAGCAGCAATTGATGAAATTGGTGTTATACTAAGATTTACTAAATGTGTGGAGAAACAACGAAAAGTATATTTCAATCAGAGAAACTATCTTGATCAATTTCCGATGGGATCTCCAAAGAAAGTAGCTACATGTGCAGACAACATGAAACTTCAGACTGCAGAAAATTTCACAATCCATTATCAAACTTACGTCACAGAAGTGGTAAAGGACATATGTGACAACTGAATGGTACCTTTTGTAAATTTTTTGGCCGGGGGTGGGTATTTATTTTTTAATTGATATTTGAGGTTGGGTAATCATTTTTTTTACTTTTTAATGGTTGGGTCAGCAAAATTTTTGCTACGAAAAACATTTTTATTCGGTGCCACCCCCGCCATAAATAATGACCTGTCCCTTAGCAAATACAGTTTAGATCACCCAGAATGTATACATTTCCTTATTATCATTATCTATAGCTTTGATCAGTGTTTCAAAATGATCAAAGAAATTTGATAATGCACTGGGTGGTCTGTAAACTGTTGTAACAACAAAAGGTTTGCTATGTGACTTAATAATTTCAACACAAACAGCTTCCAGTTCAGAAGGAACTAGATCGTCTCTTATTTTGCAGTTGACGGAGCTACGCAAGTAAATACAAACTCCACCACCTTTCCTTGATCTCATTATCTTTTCTGACAATATCATTACCATCCAGGTTAATCATTTTATCTGTTATATTCGCATCAAGTCGTGTCTCATTAAATGCAATCAGATCAATGAACTTATTTGACATTGAAAATAATTTTCATCTATTTTTTTAGGTAAACTAACAATATTCAGAAAAGCCATTTTAAAACCTCTTTCATTTGGGACTAAACGGACTATGTATTCAAATACACAGAAATATAGAATAGAAAGCAGCAAATAGAGAAATTCTGTGAGGCGATAACAACAACAACACGCAATGCACGCTAGGATATCTACCGCAGAATGTGAGGTAGATATCCCATGAAACCACAGGCGTAAAATTACACACTTAGTCCTGTCATGTGTCTAAGCTAAGGGTTCTCATAAAATCGCTGCTCACGTTGCCCCTTGTTATATCTTCGATATATAAACAATGAGAGATAGTGTATAGATAGAGAGGAGTGTAAAATCCCATGATACTGAATCACAGTTTGTGAAAAAATCCTTCCAATGTTAGCTAAATGTTTCGAAAACTTCAGTCAATATAGTTTTGTAGTACACCCATCCCAAGACCTGATGTCACTATTATGCATGGTTACCTTGTAGATATAATTCCTCAAATCATGATTTTTGAAGTTAATTTGATAGACATTTTCAATTGCATGGATTATTGGATCATAGTTCTCTGCTATTTAGCCTTAATATTGTAGCCAATTTCAGGAAAGGATGTACAAACAAGCGCATACAATAGCAATTCTTCAATTGTAAATAGCAAGGAAGCTGAATTACTGTAGGGGTATGGATAGCTTTTTCATTGGCTCTACTTTGCTCGACACAATTTCACAGTATGAATAAGGTTCACCAAGCGTTTGTATGTTGTAACTTATGTCGAGCCATTGCAAGCGAATTTAACAAAGGCCAGTAAACAAGATTGACAATAATATACACGATAAATTTGCACATTTCAAGTTGGAGTTTGGTACTATTTCAGCTGTCAATCGACATCGAACTTTGAAAGGTTCAAAACCTATCTGTTTCATGTTTGCTCACTCCATAATTTTGTCTACGCAAAGGTTTTTATCATAACTTCATAACAAATTATAATTTAGGTTTGGGAAATAATTGTTTTTTTATCAGGAAGAAGTGCGCGCCAACACTCTCTTAGAACATTTCGACGGCCTTTTTTAAACACCAAATTAAACAGAGTATAGTAATAAAATAACACCCGAAATAAAGTTTTTTGTTATTTAAATCTTATCTTTAAGTTTCTTATAATAGCTAAAAGTAACAAAAACATATAAATTTTACATGAGTAATATTTTATAAAGCAATAGTTTCAAGTCTACTTACCTTCTGGTGGGTCATATCCGTGCCGCCATATTTGTTTACAATTAGAACGTCTTACCCCCCGCAAAGCTTGCATTACGCATGGTCCCAAAATTTGTATTGCCGTTTCCACGCCTCTCTCCCTTCGCCCTGCTTGGCATGCATGCCGCGGTTGCGTTTCGGACCGGCTAAATCTTCGAAACGCTACACGAACGACAGGTGCGATTAGGATTGGAACCAATTATGATGGAACGTCCAACTATGATGGAACATCACTCATTTGAACTATGAGAAACGTGAAGCCAAGATGGCGGATTATATCCTCAGTGTAAACAGTTTTCATACAATTTTTCTCAGCTAAAATTTTGTTTCCCCATGCATTGTATCGCCAATCAAATTATTAGTTCATACAACCATGCCATACGATGTCCGGATAATTTGACCCCCCTCCCCCACTTGCAATCTGCCCTATGGTAGATCGTCTATTTCCTTACTCATGGTAGATCGCCTATTGTAATTTTGGGATCACTTTATTTTATTTAGATCGACATCACTCCAGAATTGAAGAAATTAAAGAACGAAATTAAAATTCAAGTAGCACTAAAGAAATGGAAATAAATAATACAACATCCAACCACATTAAAGAGTGTTCGATAGCCGGTTACACACATCTCGTTATAGTAGAATTTCCTTCAAGTGAATATGTCGTCAACCAAGTTTTTACATCTGTTGCGATGTGTATATTAATGATTCCTGTGATACTTTTGAACGGTATTACAGTTCTTACAATCTGGAAAAGTCAACACATGAGAGCGAAGGTTTGCCACTTTCCCGTATTTATACAGTCAATGGCTGACTTGTCTGTTGGTTTGCTTACCCTTCCATTGTTTGGCTACCTTCACCTCAGAGAAGTTTTTGGCTCGCCAAACTGTGTGTTAAGTTTTGTCTTTTCTACAATAGCATTCATACCGTGGGGATTATCCTTAGCAGCTTTATGCGCATTGACTTTTGAAAGATACATGGGGGTTTTGCATCCAATTGCACATCTCAACTACGTTACAAAGAAAATGTTTTTAGTATACATTTGTTGTGTTATATTAGTAACGTTAATAATCGTCCCCTTGGCTGTGGTTTCTGCCACATTCTACTACATTTTTTGCGCGGTCTACGCAATTATTCCCATGCTGCTACATACATTTTGCTACTCACAGATTTTGTATTCAGCAAGGAAAAGACTGCTACGACACAACTGCAGCAACACAAGTAGTCAAGAAACGGACCCGAAATCACGTGTTGGAAAACGATATTCCGCGAAGGAATTAAAGCTTGCCAAGTCTTGTGCATTGGTTGTAGTTACTTTCTATATTTTTTGTATTCCCGGCGAGTTCCTCAACATTTATTATCTCGAAAAGGACATAATATTATATAGGGTCATAATTGCTTGGTACGCCACAGCCCTTGGAGTAAATACAATACTTAACTCCCTCATCTTCTTCTGGACAAGACCAGTGTTGAGGAAAGAAGCTTTTAAAGTTCTGAAAGGAATCTGTGGTAATTGAATGTCGAATACACATTTCCGTTTGTTACGTTTGCAACGACATTCAATGGATGGCATAAAGTGTCAGAAACTGCTTGTTATCTGTAAATTTTCTTATTAAATAACAATTAATTAAGCGAAATAGTTTTGATATGATGCAAAGGCAATGGCGCTGAATTGAAACTGTTTATACAATTAATTTTTAATTAAATTCAATATATGAAGGCCTGGCTTAAAATAGCGTATAATGCAATTTAGATTAACTGCATGAATGCAAAATCTTTGCTAATTCAAAAGTATTCCAATACATACAATATTTAAGCCTTGATATACAATTAAAGAAGACACGCACAGCATTGCAACACAGGAGAAACGAGGACAATGTCGCCAAAATTTCATTTGCATTCGATTCTTAAAAGAATCGGTTTTCGAAACACGTTTATGTATCGTTACTCTTTTGAAATAACTCATTAATTTTGAAATAGTTCATTAAATAATCCGTACCAACTGTATATAATATATAATTTTTTCTCTGCGGATGTATATAGTGAAAATAAAATAAGCACTTCTTTCTTGACAAGAGGCATGCAATTATATTTAAACATCTCAGCGACTATTTACCCCTCTTGAAAACGAAGAACAACATTGAAATTCCCACAAAATAACCTTTTCAATGGGGATGGGGGGGGGGGAGGGGGTTGAAGCGGGGTGTCAAATTGCGTCAAAACTTCACACAAACCGAAACAATCATATATATTTACTCACTCTTGGCCAACCATTCTGATTACCTTCCAAACTCTTCCGAATTCGGTCAAATTTAATCGAGTAAAATACTCCGTCTATTCAAGCGCTATCATGTGGAAAGTTTCGTTTGAACACGGCGAGTAAAACAACCTCGTTCCCATGGTCTTTAGCAAAGACCCTGGTACCGCCTGGTCACGTGCCTCGTCCAACATTTAGCGCCCAAGTGGGTGTGCGGGAAAGTATCAAACTACAAGCAGTTAAAAACATAAATTTTGCGAATTATTAAGTTCAAAATACTTACTAATTTATGTGTTTTTTTTATTTGCTTTTAATTTGCAACAACCAACAGTCAAGTCAAGAAACCAAGCAAATCGTTACTCGCAGTGCTCTCTCGTGTTATTATTCAATGCTCTCTTCACACTCGAGCGCGGTTTTCTAACAAACGTTTATCAGCTTTTCAGTGGTCACCATTACTACATATATGTAATGTTTTGTAGATTACATATATGTAATGTTTTGTAGATTTGTCCTTTCTTGTAAACATTGATATGCTTTGCACCGATCTACTTGTTACTACGTGTCTTTTGTTTGTAAGATTTTTAAAAGAAACAGTATTGTATTGTCAAATGTAAACATTTGATACTAGCCAAACAAAGAAATATCTGTCATTGATTTATCTTTACAAAATTTTGTATTTAGTACATAATTCGTATTCGGTAATTATAGTAAGACTTTAGTCTTTTTCTTGGTCTCTATACTATTAATCCTGATATGCTATATAATCTACATTACAAATTTACAGTGTCAGATGCGCACATACAGCCATACGAATAGACATAAATTTTCGAGTTTTCTACTTCTACTAACATTTAAAGTTTTGATTGTGAATCATCCGTTTACTTCTAGTTCATTAGTCATTATGCTACTATTAAGTAAAACAATTAAGGCTCTCAAATATATTTGTATATTTATTTGAGTGATGCCGCCCACGCGTTTCTTAGGCAAGTCTATAAGTTGAAATCAAATCCAATTTGCTTGAATGTAACTCGACACTAGATTATAGAGCAGAAAGTCGCATCACGATAAATATTAATTTTTAATTGCAGTTTTCTTCATGATTTCTTGTTGCAAATTTAGATCTCATCACACAAAGTTGCAAATATTGTTACAAACGCGACAAACACGCTCCTCTCCCACCTTACCCATAGTATAATTTTATTTATCACCCAGAATCTGGGTGACACGCGACCAGCCGAAACCAGGGTCTCTCCTTCGCCTCGCGCCGTTCTAAGGATGATCATGGGACCGAGGTTAGGACTACCTCTGAAAGAGGAAGGAGAATTACAAAGCCTATATATATATATATATATATATATATTATATATATATATATATATATATATATATATATATATATATATATATATATATATATATATATATATATATATATATATATATATATCT